GTGAACTCATGCTAGTTTACAGTATAGATCTTATTTTAAGAAACGATATTAAGCAATCATATATAAGGTATGATGATTAAGATTGGAATTGTAAAATGATAAAGGGAAAAGAAAAAATTAACAAAAAAAATTTGGATTGGCATTGATACATACTTGCCAACCTTCAACATGTAAAAATCTGGTCATGACCAGATTTGGAAAGTAAAAAATCTGGTCATAACGCTTAACGACATTCACGACATAATTACCATGATTAAATTTTATAATATATATACAAAGTATTTGAGAATTCTTTTATTGAAAAAGGATTTAATTTAATTACTATGACAAAAAATTCATATATAATTTGATTTAATTTACATGTTAAAAATGAGAATTGAAGGTTTCATATTTCAATATTGACCTGATTCAAAAGTAAGTGTTAATTTTTTTTTTTAAAGCCTTTTCACATGTTTCAGTTTCTGCTAAATTTGAAAGTATACCAATTTTAGTTTTGAAGTTATTTTTCCTCTCTCTTTATTAATTAATTTAGTACTGAAATATGTTTTAAATGTTATCAATCAGTTTATTTTATCTAGAATGAAAGTGTTTTTCCAAGATTCCTAGATATGTACATAAATTTCGTTTTTCTTTTTCTTAATTCAATCAGAGACGTGTTTGGTTCAATTTGTTCCTGTTGGCCCTGATAACGATCTAGTTCTATCGGAAGCCATTTTAATTGACTTCAAACATTGAATTGTCAAAACAATTACCAGTTAATTGTTTATACCTGCACTGATAATTAATCCATCGGCATTGTTTACGCGTAGATCTAAGCTTGGGTTTTAACTGGAAGTTAAAAGTGTAACCTAATTTACGAACCAAATCCGGAAATCGGGAGATTTTCGGGTTGTTTTGCAAAAATCGGGTGATAAGCATGACCCGCCAGGTCGTAAAAAATAATCGGGTTACGGGTTGAAAAATCGGGTGTGACCCAACGAAATCGGGTGAGTTGGCAAGTATACATTGATAGTATTTTTAACAGGCACCTAAATATTTGCAAGCTTGACAGTTTTCCACAACTCTGTTAATAGGTTCTGTATAATATCACAACTTACATGTTTTTTAATAGCTGTTCACTCAAAAGTATAGAGTTTTTTCATCTAAATGTTTTTGAAACATCAAATTTTTGGATTTGTTTGATTGACACTTCCTTGCACTTTGACAGATTTTTATTTTATTAAAGTAGCAAACTTGTGTATAAATCAGAAATATTAAATCTTCAATGCAGAAAAACTATTATATTCAGAGTAGAAATATTTGAATTTAAAACCATTCTCAAGTATCAATATTCCATGCTTAGTAGTGTGAACAGACTTTAGCACATTGAACACATCTATGAAACGCACACTTTTTTTGAGTTGGCTCGCGTTGCGAGCTACTCCCTGTTGACATAGCCGTTTCAGAGCAGTAAAATTTTTCACGTATTCATTAAGGTGATTCATATGCCAAATATAATAGTTCTAGCAAAAAATGCTTTGGTTTGAGTGATTATATAAACTTAAGATGTAGAAACTGTATAAAATTTCATACTGTAACATTGTTTATGCCTTCATGCTTTTAAAGACATTTTTGATTAAATACCTGTACAATTACTGCGTATGAATATATGTTCAAGCTTGTTAGGCGGATCTAATCTTCTATCTGAAGTTTATAATTGACCTAGAATACTCTGTAACACAAACACCTGCTGCTCTCATTAGTTGCAACTAGTTGTTGTTGAAAATCTATTTTTAGAATCCAGATTTGATGTGGGAATCTTTAACCTAATTATTCCATAACACTGACCACTTCAGCTAGTGTGCACAAATTCATTGTAATCTCCCTCGGGAGATGACACATTAAGATTGTAAGCCTCCATTAATCTTTCGGGAGTCCTCGACATTTTGCAGAGTTTCAAGTTGTCTGTAAACTGGTTTTCTTTTAGAAGAACTAGCTTTGGAGTCTATGATCTACTTCCGGTTTAGGCCCTTTTAAAAGCCAAGGAAAATTTAGAAAAGAAGTACAATGCTTATAAAATATCTATAGTTTCGGTGTGCATCTACAGTTGATGCATCTTGGGTTTTTGGAGAGTGACGACCAAAAATTAGGTCACGAAGACCTACTTTTGACATTTTATGGCTATATTTAAGTATCTCCGGTACTTATTGGCTTAGAATCATCAAACTTTGTCAGTTGATGCATCTTGGGTTTTCAAAGAATGTCGACCAAAAAGTAGGTCACAATGACCTACTTTTGAACATCTCAGGTATTTATTGGCTTAGAATCATCAAACTTAGTAAGCAGATGCATCTTTGGACTCTGAAAAATGTCGACTAAAATGTAGGTCATGGTGACCTACTTTCGACATTTTATAGCTATATTTAAGTATCTCTGGCACTTATTGGCTTAGAATCATCAAACTTTGTCAGTTGATGCATCTTGGGTTTCTGGAGAATGTCGACCAAAAAGTAGGTCACAGTGACCTACTTTCGACATTCTATGGCTATATTTAAGTATCTTAGGTATTTATTGGCTTAGAATAATCAAACTGTGTAAGTTGAAGCATTTTGGGTTTTCCAAGAATGTAGACCAAGAAGTAGTCCTAATTGGCTAAGAATGATCAAACTTTGTCAGGTGGTGCAACTTTGGTCTTAGGATACTTAGGGTTAGAGGCTTCAAATACGAGTGATAGGTTGTACAATTTATCAGAAGAGCGATTCAAGGCCCTTGGGCCTCTTATTAACTTCTGCTTAAGAACCACTTGGACAATTTCAACCAAACTTGCCACAAAGCATCCTTAGGTAAAGGGAATTCTAGTTTATTCAAATGAAAGGCCATGTCCTCATTCAAGGGGAGATAATTGAGAAGTAATGAAAATGTGGTGGCATGTTTTAAAAATCTTCTTTTCAAGAACCACTCTGCCAGGAGAGATGAAACCTATGGGGAAATATCCTCAGGTAGTGTAGATTCAAATTTGTTCAAATCATGACCCCTGGGGGTAGGGTGGGGCCGAAATGTCCGACCAAAGATTTTAATACAGATATATAGGAAAATTCTTTGAATATATTTTTCCAAGAATAACAAAGCCATAATTTATCATATTCATATGGAAGCATTCTCAGGTTGTTTAGATTCAAGTTTGTAAAATCATGACCCCCGAGGGTATGGCGGGACCACAATGGCTAATTTTTACATAGAAATATATGGGAAAAATTCTTTAAAAATCAGTTTCTCTTAAGAAAAGCATAGCCATAAGGCATTCATCATATTTATATGGAAGCATCCTTAGGTAGTGTAGATTCAAGTTTGTTCAAATCATGACCCCAAGGGGTAGGGCATCTTATCCTTTACCAGTCTCTTTTGTTGATTTGCGTGAAGTGGTATAAACCTTAAAAAAAGGTGAAATTATATTTCAAAAGTGAGGTTTTGATGTTCTATTTCATTGTTATTGAAGTTGTAAAGTTAAACTGTTCGCTTTTTGTCCAGAACCACTGAGCCAATTTCAATCAAAGTTTGCACACAGTATCCTAAGATGATATATATTTTACTGTGTTCAGACAAATTTTAATAATCCATTTGACAAGACAAACAGTAAAGGCTCATATTTTTAAGTCACCTGAACCATGTGGACTTTTCTGATCAAGATTTGTCTGTTTGGCCACAATAAAAATATTGTTGGTTTGGCATTGCCAACTCAGTATTGATACGTTTGGGTCGATTGGTAGGGGAAAAAATGTTTTCAATTTCAGAAATGTTGTAAGTATCTGGCCGTCTGATTTTTAGCTCACCTGAGCCAAAGGCTCAAGTGACCTTTTCTGATCACACATTGTCCATCGTTGGTCTGTGTGTCCATCCATTTATCTGTCCATATGTCTGTTAACTTTACACATTTTGACATATTCTCAAGAACCACTTGACCCATTTTAACTGAACTTGTTACATCCTTAATTAAAAGGGAATGTTATTATTAAAATGAAGGGCCGAGACCCCTTTTGGGGTTAAATAATCATGAAAATGTAGAAATAGGGATGGGTCATTAAAAAATCTTCTCAAGAGCAAGTGCTTAGGATGAGACCTGGAAAACTTAGGCCTCATGTCAGCAGTAGGCGTTGGAATGATAAGGATTTCTCACTGCTCAATGGCCCTGCGTGCCAAGTAAAGGTCAAAATTTGAAGCCCTTTACCAGCAAACAATGACGTCTCTATATGAGTGAGAAATTCTTTCTACAAGACCACATACAAGATTAGATTATCATGAAAATATAGAAATAAGGTGGGATCATTAAAAGATCTTCTCAAGAATGGGTCCTTTCAAATGATTCTTCATTGCTCAATGTACCTGAGTGTCAAGTAAAGGTCAAAATTTGAAGCTTTCACCGACATACGGCGACGTCTCCATATGAGTAAAAATTCTCAAGAGGGCATTAAACAATACACAATCAATCAATCTTTTCAAGAACCACTTGACCAGAAAAACTGAAACTTATGTGGAAGCATTTTGGGATAGTGTAGAATCTGAATTATTAAAATCATGACCCCTGGGGGTTGGGAGGGGCTACAAAAGGAAATTGAAAATGTTATATAGAAAGATATAGAATTTCTAAAAAAAAATTCTTATCAAGAACCATTGTGTTTGAAAAGCTGAGACTTGTATGGAAGCATCATGAGTTAGTGTAGATCTAAGTTGTTTCAATCATGACCTTTGGGGGTTAGATGGGCCACAAGAGGGAATAAATTTTACATACAAATATATAGGAAGAAATTTTAAAACTCATCTCAAGTACCATTGGGCAAGAAAATCTGATACATATGTGTAAGCATCCTGGGTAAGTATATTCAAATTGTCAAAAGGGGAAGGGGATGTTTGGCCAAGGCCACAGTAGGTATTACATGTTGTTTTATTACAAATTGTTTTAATAAAACACCATCACCAATGTTATTCAGGTGAATGGTGTGGCCCATTGGCTTCCTTTTTTTTAGATGGCAAAGAGAAAGAAGAGATTGTCTGCAAGACAGCGATTACTTGCTGATAAGTTGAGGAAGAGAGAAAAGAGACAAAAAGCTGCAGGAATTCTGCAAGACGAAGACACACTTTTGACACCACAAGAATCTGCTGTTCCTTGTGGGACAGTGGATGGAGCTGATTCAGCTCCTCCTGGTAATTTTCCAGGGCTTGGTTCGATGGGGTTTCCACCTAAAGAGGAAAAACCCCTGGCCAGGGTGCAGGCCTCACCTCGAGTGAAAATGCATTCACCTGCCCTGAGGTTGTCACCTCCTCAGGGAAGTCGTCTGTTTGTCCGTAACGAGGACAAGGCACCGTCCCCTGACTCCCCACCGTGGGTTTGTGCTCCACCGAGGGCACCTGGATCGGGCATAGGGCATATGTCTGATCCAGCAGGTCAGGCGCAGCTGGATACCTCCTGGGAGGAGGAGACCAGTAGAATATCAAAAGATGAAGGAACTTTAACGAAATCAAAAATGGAAACTGAACGAATATCAAAAGGAAACTTGAACGAAAAACATGATATTATAGAAAGTATAAACAGAGAAAAAGATATGCTGGAGACTGTAGAAAGTATGTTGGATTTCAGAGATGATACAGAGATTATAGAAAATGAGTTGACAAATGAAGGAAAAAAAGATATCAAATTAGCAAATGTAAGAATTTTTCACCGGAAAATGGGTCAGAACATAAAAGATTTGAAAATACAAAGTGATCAGAAAGAAAGTACTAGTATGGAGGATTGTCCAGGTGAGGAAAATACAAATTTAGAAGCAAGAAATTTGTATTCTGTGTCTGTTCAGGGCTCTTTTCATCAAGCTGATCCTATATTTGGTGACTCTGCAGGAACTCAATGTGTTGCAAATTGTTTATCAGGTTTGGCTTATCATCTTCTGAAAAGTGCAGAAATGTGGCAAACAGCTGATGTCAATAAAGTTTTAGTCAATGGAGATGAACTTTACACATACCTGCAGAATTGTTCTTCAATTACAAGTAGGTATTTGTTAGTGGAAGAGTTACCGCAGTATTTTGAATGCTTTAGCAACACATTTGACTTTACAGTTAAGACCTCTGTACCAAGTTTAATCAGTGTATCAGCGGAGGAACCATGTTATGAAGATTTTAATGCCCATCCTCTTTTTGAAGCTCTGCAGATAGCACTTACTGAAACAAATGGATGCTTTGTGTGTTTCGGAGGGAATACCCTTTTAATAGGGAAGACTAATGATGGGTTTTTCTCATTTGATTCACATGCACGATGCCCCCGTGGATATCTTAGTGTTAGAGGGAAGAGTACAAGAATTTTATTGAAGGATGTTCAGGATGTCTATCTGCATCTTAGGTCACTGGCTATTTCTATGGGCATTTCACAAACTGTTGCTTGTGAATTAACTGGGGTGTTGTGTTCACTTAAGCATTTTGCCACTGCAGTAGTTAATGAGGTTAAAGGAACTGAAAAATATTCAGAGGGAAATGAAGATTCAAGACAAGGTCTCTTGACATCAAATCAGTCAAAGGTTAAAGAAACTGAGAGATGTTTTGAAGGGTTAAAAGTTTCAGAGAAAGGCGGGATATTGTCAGATCAGTCAGAAATATTACAGGAGAATGATGTGATGTTTATGGGCGAGGAATTCCAACGGCATGATTTTATACCTTTATCTGTAGAGAAACAAAAGGAATTGTGTAAAGTGTTGGGAGTGCCATATCATGTCTCTACACATGAAAACCATGCTGCATCTGTGAAAGACATGGATAAACCCAGAGGCTGTAAAGAAATTGGACAAGATGGTAATTGTTTTTTTAGGGCAGTATCATTCAGCCTGACAAACTCTGAGAACCATCATCAACATATTCGTGAAGCTGTTTGTCAGCATCTTCTGAACCATGAAGCAATGTTTCAACAGTTTATGAGGTCAGAAGGATCTTTAAGGTCGTACTTACTTCACTGCAAAATGTCTAACTTGGGTGTATGGGCCACTGAATTGGAGATTCTTGCTATGTCACATATGTTGAATGTTGACATTTATACTTATTCAGATATGAAATGGCTTCAGTTTAGTATGAAAGGGCCGAACCCAGAATCAGCTGAACAGAAAGAAGCTATTTATTTATACCACAGACATCAGAATCATTATGATGTTGTTTTAAGTGTTACATCAAGGCTGCATGGAAAGGAATGTGTCACTCGAAATAGATCTCTTAAAGGAGAATATAACGTTCGCACAAGAAATAAAATTCGAATGAGAGAGGAACGAAGAAATCTGAAATTGAAGATAACAGACTTGAAGGAAAAGAGGAAAGATGCATTTAGGAAAAGATACACGGAAAATGAAAAGTACCGAAAGAAAATGTTGGAGCAGAAGAAAGATATGTACTCAGATGCAGACTTTAGGCTGAAAGCACAGATAAGAAACAGAGAACGATATTGTGCTTCACATTTAGTACAAATGGCAAGTAAAAGAAGAAGTAAAATGAAATACTTAACAAACTTGAAACATAAAGAGGGAAAGAAAAGAAAGAGTGTTGAGAAATATAAGTTTGATTCTGAGCACAGAGAACAGTTGAAAGGAAAGAGTAAAGAGAAGTACAAGATAGACTTTGAACATAAAGAAAGTGTTAAGAAAGCAAGCATTGAGAAGTACAAAGAGGACTTTGAGCATCAGCAGAATGTGAAGAAAGCAAGCATTGAGAAGTACAAGACAGACTTGGAACATCAGCAAAGTGCAAAGAGAGCAAGCATTGAGAAGTACAAGACAGACTTGGAGCATCAGCAAAGTGTAAAGAGAGGAAGCATTGAGAAGTACAAGACAGACTTGGAACATCAGCAAAGTGTGAAGAAAGCAAGCATTGAGAAGTACAAGACAGACTTGGAGCATCAGCAAAGTGTGAAGAAAGCAAGCATCAAGAAGTACAAGACAGACTTGGAGCATCAGCAGAATGTGAAGAAAGCAAGCATTGAGAAGTACAAGACAGACTTGGAACATCAGCAAAGCATTAAAAGAAGAAGCAGTGAAAAGTACAAAACTGATTTGGAGCATAAGATTACTGTAAAGCAGAGGGCTTCAAAAAGATACAAAGAAGATGAATCTTACAGAGCGAAAAGCAAAGCTGCATTTGTACTAAAATATAATACAAATGAGACTTTTCGATCAAAAATGCAGAAAAGAGGTACAAGGAGGTATCACACTGATACAGAATATCAGTCTAAAGCAAAGAAAAGTACTAAGTCAAGTTACCAATCATCTGCTGAAGTTAGAAAGAGTAAAAAAGAAGAAGTTCAGCAGAAAAGGAGACTGAAACAAATGAACATGAAACAAGAAGAGGATATTGTCAGATTATTTAAGGAAAAAGCCAAGGAGGGTCCAAATTATGTTTGTACATGTTGCCACAGGCTTTTCTTTCAGAATCAGGTTCAAGCATGTGAACATCAGATGTATCATAAAAGTGAGTCAGCAAAATCTATCTCTGAGATTTGTTTGCTAGATAAGTATCTGCATGAATGCTCTGAATCTTGCCCAGAATCGTGTACTAAATCATCATTATGGATTTGTTACACTTGCCATAGGAAAATAATGAGTGGCAAAGCACCTGCAGAAGCTGCAGCAAACAGCATGGTTGTGGAGGATATTCCTTCTGAATTGACTAACTTGAACAGTTTGGAACAGCATTTGATTGCAATGCACATTCCATTTATGAAAGTAATGGCTCTTCCTCATGGGGGACAAAAAAATGTACATGGTCCTGTTATTTGTGTACCTTCAGATATGAGGAAAACTGTCAGTTTACCAATGAAACAGGATGAAAACTTGTTGTTGCGTGTAAAATTGAAAAGGAAGTTGAATTACAAAGGCTACTTTGAGTATCAGTTTGTTAATACAACTCATATCATGTCAGCTTTATCATACTTAAAAGAACACAATCATTGGTATAAGGATATAAAAATTGAATCATCTTTGGAAGAGGATTTAACGATACAAGAAGAAATGACAGAAGAAAACGTTGAGGCAAGGGATAATGTGGGAATCACAGAGGAAATGGTTGCATTTGACACATGTTTACAACCTGTAGATGTTGCACAGGAGGTTTTAGACCATTATTTTGATGATGTGTACAACATTGCACCAGGTGAAGGGAAAAACCCAATTCGAATGTTACAGGAACCTGGCAATGAAGCTAAGGCATTTCCGTGTCATTTCCCAAGTGGTCGTTTCTCTTGGAATGAAGAAAGATCAGAAAAGTTGACTCTTTCAAGATACTTCAATAATAGGCTAATGAATGCAGATGACAGATTTGCAAAGGACACCAATTACATATTCTTTAGCCAGTACATGTCCGAACTGAATCAAGTGATTGAAAAAACTCAAATTTCACTAAGAAAATCTTTATCAAAATGGACCAATGGGAAACCAGTAACAGCAAATATGCTACAAGATCCAATTACTCTCTCGGGCTTGCTGAGGAATGATGATGCTATTAGATTTATGCAGCCAATAAGAGGAACACCGGCTTATTGGGCAACGGCTCAGAAGGACCTCTTTGCTATGCTGCGGCAATTAGGAATTCCCACTTGGTTTTGTTCGTTCTCTGCAGCAGAGTACAGATGGAATGATGCTGTTACAGCAATACTACAACAGCAGAACGATAACAGAAATCCCGAGGAAATGGAATGGTCAGAAAAGAATGAAATTCTAAGGTGCAATCCAGTCACTGTGGCTAGAATGTTTGAGCACAGATTTCAAATATTTCATAAGGAAGTCATACTATCTCCTGCAGAACCAATAGGAAAGGTAGCAGACTATTTTCAAAGAGTTGAGTTCCAGCAGAGAGGATCTCCACATATGCATTGCTTATATTGGATTGAAAATGCACCAAATATTGATTCTGATGGCGAGGAAGTTGTATGCAACTTTATTGACAGATATGTAACATGTGCTGTACCATCAGAAAGTGATGATTTTGAATTGAGAAAAAGTGTTTTAGAAGTACAACAACACAGCAAGAAACATTCAAAATCTTGTAAAAAGAAGGGAACAGAATGTAGATTTAATTTCCCAAGGCCTCCATCTCAAAAGACTTTCATTACAAGCAGTCAAGAGGAAGAAACCACAGATGAGTGTGAAAAAGAAGCAAAGCTAAACAAGGCATATGCGAAGGAAATATTATTCAGTGTTTGGGAAAGAGTTCAGAATGAAGGGGATAGAAATATAACAACAGAAGAATTATTTGATGATCTTTCATTAACCCAGGAACTGTACGAAGAGGCCCATAACATGTTGTCGGCAAAGAGATCAATTATACTTGAACGGTGCCCAAATGAGGTTTGGACAAACCAATACAACAGATGCCTGTTAAAATCCTGGGATGCTAATATGGACATACAGTTTGTTCTTGATCCTTTCAGTTGTATTGTTTATATTATTTCCTATATATCGAAGTCAGAGAGGGAAATGGGCATGCTATTAAAACAAACAAAGTTGGAGGCAGAAGAAGGAAATGTTGATGCCAGAAAAACTATGAAGAAAATTGGATCAGCGTACTTGCATCACAGGGAAGTAAGTGCTCAGGAAGCTGTGTACAGAGTTTGTAATTTGAGGATGAAAGAATGTTCTAGGAAGGTTGTATTTGTGCCTGTAGGTGACAACCCAGTGCGCTTAAGTAAGCCATTATCTGTGCTGAAGAAGAAAGCATCAAAAGATGTTGAAATTACCGATGAAGAAGATGACGAGAATGAAGTGTGGATGACGAACATAATTGAACGTTACATGAACCGACCAGATAAGCCAATCTTTCATGAAATGTGCCTTGCCGAATTTTGTTCTGAATTCAGAGTGCTAGCAAAATCTCAAGTTCCTAAGAAAGAGAATCAAAACGTGTTTGAATTACAGAATGGGAAGGGTTACGTACAACGAAGAACAAGAACTCAACCTGCTGTTGTAAGATATCCTAGGTTCAGTGTTGAAAAAATGTCTGAGAAATATTATCAATCTCGTTTACAACTTTTTCTTCCGTACTGGACAGAAACACAGTTGAAACCCCCAGGGTTTGAATTATATGAGGACTTTTACAAAACTGGTTATGTAAAAATTTCCAGTGGAAAACGAAAGCAGTCTGTGAAGTCAATTGTGGAATCAAATCATTCAAAATATGCAGAAAATGAAGAGATGGTTGACAACGCTCAGGATGCGTATGAGATGAATGGTGAACCAGAAGATGCATGGTCGAGGATATGTCCAGAGACAGAGGTTCTCAGAAGGGAAGGTATAGCACAGAGAAATGGGAACACAGTGCCAGAGGAGGAAAGTACCGATATTATACCAGAGATTGAAAGCGAGACACATAATGCAGATGTCATGTATCATGTTCAACAACATGTTATCTCAAGAGAAGAAATGTTACCTGTTCTTCAGAATTTGAATGAGACACAAAGTGCTGTATTTTATTTAGTTCGCAAGTGGTGTTCAGCAAAGATTGCAGGGGAGAAATGTGAGCCCTTTCATTTATTTGTAACTGGTGGAGCAGGAACTGGTAAAAGTCATCTTATAAAAGCAATTCAGTATGAAGCATCGCGTTTACTTTCACGAATAATGTCAGAACCAGATAGACCATCAGTTCTTCTCGCAGCATTCACTGGAACAGCGGCTTTCAACATTGGCGGAAATACACTGCACCACTTATTTTCCCTAACAAAATATCTGCCTTTGCCATATGAACCTCTTGGTGAACAAAGCCTCAGTGAATTGAGAGTAAAGATAGGGGATCTTCACATTCTTATCATTGATGAAATATCAATGGTGTACAAAAGACTTTTGTACTACATACACGAAAGACTGGTGCAGATTAAGAAATGCAAGGAGCCCTTTGGTGGAGTTTGTGTTATTGCTGTTGGGGACTTTTACCAGCTGCCACCAGTAAAGCAGAGAAAAGATGAAAGGCTTTACAAAGAAAATATGAGTTATCCTATGGACTTCTGGCTTGACTTATTTAAAGTCATTGAGTTAACAGAGATAATGAGACAAAGAGGAGATTTGTCCTTTGCTGGGATTCTTAATTCTTTTCGTGTAAGAGAGAGAGATGAACAATTAACACAGCAGCAAAGTAATTTCCTACAAGACTGTATCAGGGAAGGACCAGAAGATGTTCTTCATGTGTTTTCTACTAACGATGAAGTTAACACATTCAACCTGTCAATGTTAAAAAGATCATGTGAAGATCTACTGGAAATTGATGCTCAGGACTTTAGAAAGGACAAAACATCCGGAAAGTTAGTACCGAGAAACAAACCTATGACAAGATCAAGAAGTGATGGCCTTCCAAGCTCTCTTCTATTATCAGTCCATGCAAGAGTAATGCTTACGAGAAATTGCGATGTAGAGGATGGACTTGTGAATGGAGTAATGGGACATATTTGTCGATTTTCTTTTGTAGAAAACAGTGAGGAAATTGTTAAAGCAATAGGAGTGGTTTTTGATAATAAGGAGGTTGGGAAGAAGACAGGACAATATACAAGGGATGGAAACATGGTGTTCATAGAAAGAGTGCAAGAGGAGATAAAGGACAAGGCTACTACAGTGGTTCGTCATCAGTTTCCAATTCGGTTATCTTGGGCGTGCACGGCTCATAAGGTGCAGGGGATGACAACAGACAAAGTCGTGGTAAATTTAGATAAAGCATTTGCCCCAGGCCAAGCTTATGTTGCACTGTCAAGGGTTACTTCAAAGTTGGGCCTATTTATTGATACAGAGGATCCAGTTCGATTTCAGAAAAATATTTATGCTGATCCAGAGGTCAAAGCAGCATTAAAGGAAATGCCTAAACTTATTTTTGATGACATTGCGTCAATTTTAGCCTCTAATGGAAAGAAAATAGTTCTGCATAATATACAGAGCTTACACGGTCATTTTGGAGATCTAAAGAATGATGCCAGATTCCATCAGGCTGATATTATTTGCTTAACAGAGACATGGCTAAGATCTGGGGAGAGCACAGAGAACTTTGCATTGGAAGGGTTTCAATTTCATCATCTTCCGAGAAGTGAAGCATATGATGAAAGCACTGCATTAAATCAGAGTGTAAAAATGACAAAGGGTGGAGGTGTTGGGCTGTATTTGAAAGACAAGAAAGATTCATATGATATTCTGCCAATGTCCAAAATGAATATTGAAGGAATAGCTGTAAAATTAGCCAGAAGAAATATCTTGTTGTTGTCTGTGTATCGCCCATGTGCAGCAAAAGTAGCAATGTTCCTTCAATATCTTCAGAAAGTTCTTAACTACTTGAAAACAAATGCACATGATTGTATCATCGTAGGTGATTTCAATGAGGATGCAAAAATTGATGGTCCAATTCAGAGGTTTATGAAAGAGCAAAACTTCAAACAACTTGTATCCTTTAGCACCACAGAAGGGGGAACAATTTTGGATCATGTGTATGTATCCAGTTCCATAGAGGTTGAAGTTTATCAATTACCAACATATTATAGTTATCATGATGCTGTTCTTCTGAAAATCCGAGATGAAGAATTATGATGCTATATTTAGAAAGCAATCCAGTTTTATTAGAATCAGTGGTATGTGTAATTAAGTAGTCTATGATTGAAACCAGATGTATATACTAGATAAAAGAGTTAGTTCTTTGCTTTATGTCCCTAAGTAGCTTTTCATGCAAACAAACCACTACAGAAAACAAAGAAGTTTCTAAATTTTCAATTATTTTAATAGTGATTTTCTTTAAGAAACAGTGAAAAGCAAACATTGAGGAACAAACACCAGATGTTACTTATCATAGGTCAAGTTTGTTTAGCAATGTCAATAGGGTATCGATATATCTTTTGTTTGTGTGAAGCTGATAAGCACAAAAGATACCATTTGAAGGACATTATTGTACAATTGTGCATCATAACTTGTCCTTTTGTAATTACAGATAAAAATTTGAAAAATTGTTTATCATTTTAAGTCAAATTGTACATACTATTATGTTCAAGTGATTGAAAGTTCAGTTGATGATGATTACGGCAGTGGTTTAATTGTATATATTTACAGTGTGATTGAAACTATTTTTGCATTTGTTTTTGGTAATGCTCGCCAATGACTTGGATGATTTGCAAATGTTGAATTATTTGGAAACGTTTTATCTTTTAAATTACTCTGGTCCAGAATCTGTTGGTGACAGGTTCATGAAACAGACTATCCTTTGTAAAAAAAATTTATCACCTGCAAGATTTGCAGATAACAAAATTTTGGTGCAATGTGAATTAATATTTTTTGTTTTGGACAGTTTGAATTCTTCAAAATTGCACAACATAAAGCCTTTGACTTAAGACAGTGTTACCAAATGGTCCATCATGGTCTCAACTGCAGGGGAACAGTAGAAATCTTTGCCTACTTAATTATAATGATTTGAAATTAGAAATCCATTACAAATAAACCATAGCTTTAATAAGAAAAAAGGGTTTTCCAGTATACTAGTAAGTTTCAGTTAATTACGGATGTCCAATTATACCAAAAAATGAAATTGTCATCTTCTTGTTTTTAGAGCTTTGGTGGTCATATTTCTTAATAAATGTCAAGCCCGATTGCAATTTTATATATTTGCTGTATTAAACATGTAAAATGAATAAGTCAGTTGTAATCTTGCATTTTGTCTTTTCAGAAAAGGAATTTATGAAATGCGTATTAGATAAATGAGACACGGGATGGAAGAAATGAGCAGCTTGTAAGAATATTAGTGATTCCGTTAGAAATGAATAAGCTTTTACTTCATTTATACATAAATAAAATGTAGCTTAGAGACCAGAGATTGATAAGGTTACAAGTATGCTGAATAGGTTAACCAAGAACAGTTTTGTGTTCAAAAGTGTATGTTGTGATTTTCATTTAATAGAATTCTTATAAGACGTAAAGATTGAAACCGTGTTTTTATTTTAGTCTAGATACTGATTTTTTCTAAATGTTTAAATTTTCCCCACGTACCAGAAACACGAATTAGATTCCCATCTTCAGTAAATGACCTGCTAGCTTTGATACAGAAGATCCCTTTACAGAATGACATTGTCTATGCTTGCAATACTTTATAATCCGTTTGAGGGGGAACGAGGCAATTAATTTTTTTTATTGATGTAAATATGCAGAATTTCACAATATTTTCTTGTATTAAAGTAGAGAATAGTTTAGGAAATTTAATATAACCTGCTCAAAATCCTACTTCCACCTCCCCGCGGTGAGCAGGGGGCAACGGACTATATGTCCGGCTAACGGAAGAGGTAAAAAAAAATTACTAAGCGCTCCTGTTTATTCATTCAAATTTTCCATCTCTGTTTTTATACACTGAACCAAACTTCTAAGTGTTCACCTTACATTTTTGAAGAACAAATGCAAACAATAAATAATTTCTTTAATTCTTGGTAAATTTTGATGCATAAAAGTTCATGTTTGAACAAATTTCATGTAGGATCTTCCATTTAAGGAAATGTCAATTAAATGTGTACCCTAAAAATGAAAATTTTTATATATATTTCTATGTATTACTTCCAGATTTTGGATACCATGTAACTAGGAAATTGACCCATTTGCCACACCTACATGTACTGCATATAGATCTTTACTTGAAATTGTGTGGATTTGACATATCTTTTAAAATCTCAAATGTGTTCAATGGGATTCATTTATTGACAGTGATCGAAGATGTTTTATATCCTTGGGTGTTTAGCACGTAAATGCGCCAAAATAATTCAGACTGCTTGAGCATTGTGATGCCACGAGCACCGATTTCATCATTTTCGTACGATTAAAATGGTTTGTTTCCATGTTTCTAAGATTTTTTCAGGACACTTGAACACTCTCTTTACCTGGTATAACGCAAAATTTTCTCCCAAGATGAATATTAAGGTCACTTCCGGTGTGGTTAAATTTTGTCAAAAACTTTCAAATTGTGATAAATTGGTGATGAAAAAATGAGCACAGCCTATACAAAAATTTGTTTAAAAGGGTTTTTGATATTGTTTGATAATTTTTAAAAGTAATATCAAGTACAGTAAGCACTAAAATAAAAATGAGTGAAACGTGGTGCGAAGATGGTCCAAATATCAATATTCCACGGCTTTTGAATGATTATTTTGTTTTTGTGTTTTTTAGTGAAACCAATTTTTAAGATTTGATAATCATCACAAAAAGATGCTTATTACACAAAACACGTGCTGCAAAGTACAGATTTATTGTTAGCTTCGTCACGGAACGTTGATTTCATCGGTGATATTGAATTTTCTTTCTACAATTGCTGAATCATCTCATTTGTTGTAATAATTTGAAAATATCATGGGGACTTTCGAGCCTCAGTAATGCATTACAAAATATTGACTGTTAAAAAGTTATCAATTACAGACTATGCCCCTGTCGGCGCCAAAGATACCATCTAAAAGTATTTTTAAATAAATACATTTATTAGAGTGAACAAAAAATTACTATAGGTACTTTATACCAAAATAAATACAGAGGAAAAAGGGCTGATTGACCTATGGACAGGGATCCTAGGTATTTTTCTCATACACTTTCTCAGATATTTACAATTTTTTTTGAATATGTTTGATCAATATTATCTATCAAAAAATCTATAGGTATTTACACCATCTCAGATGTTTTCAGGGATCCGGACTTTTGAATATTTTTGTTCAATATTACCTATCAAAATATCTCCCAACTTTTGTGATATAAAGCGTAAAGGATTTACTATCATTCCAATAACAGCGTGTCACTTTGCTCAACCGAGCGTGGTAAAGTTTCACATGTTGATTACCATATTACTCATCGATTGGATATATGATTTCAAAGAAAGCAAGACTACTTTGCATATGAAATACAGAACCCAGAAATACCACGCAGAATACTGACCAATCGTATTGAATGATTGTTCACGATAATGCAGTAAACAATAATCACATGTGGACAAGCTAAGCAATTTTTAATCCTTATAATGATGGAATCGATCGCAATATACAATATAATATACATATTATATTAATTTCAAACTATATATCCTTACTTATGTCATGCTTTAAATATTATCAATCGTATCAACATTAACTCAATTCGGTCAAATCACAAAGAATATGGCACGTGCTTTTTCCAGGACAACATGATTTTGAACATCCATTATTCAATATTACTTATCAAAATATTTCTCATTCTGGAGATATAAAGCGTCAAAGATTTAGGTTTTAGGATTTAGAACACTTTTTGTTCAACAACTATTCAGTGATTCTTTTTTCGTTTTCGTGTTATTTGCAAAAGAAATATTTAGGGGCCAACCCTTCAACTCCCTAATGGGGACGTTTAGCGAAAAATTGAAGGTTGCATATTGTTCAGAACATGATTTTGAACATCTTTTGTTCAATATTACTTATCAAAATATTTCTCATTCTCGAGATATAAAGCGTCAAAGATTTAGCGTTCTGGCCCCTTGTGGCCTTTAATTATGTACCATACGACCTGAAAATCAAAATGTATAGTTGAAGATGGTTGAGATAAACATCTTTGCTTCAGTAATGTATAACAAAATATCAACTGCTAAAGAGTTATCGATTGAAGACTTTTGGCCCCTCTTGGCCCCTAATTTGAGTGTCCAGCTCCTTTTTCTTGATTTAATCTTGAAGGTTTTAGGATTTTGAAAAATTTGTTTCAACAACCATTCAGAGATTCTTTTTTGTTTTCGAGTTATTCGCAAAAGAAATATTTAGGGGCCAAACCTTCAACTCCCTAATGGAGACGTTTAGCGAAAAATTGAAGATTGCATATTGTTCAGAACATGATTTTGAACATCTTTTGTTCAATATTACTTATCAAAATATTTCTCATTCTCGAGATATAAAACGTCAAAGATTTAGCGTTCTGGCCCCTTGTGGCCCTTTATTATGTACCATACGACTTGGAAATCATAATGTTTAGTTGTAGATGGCTGAGATAAACATCTTTGCTTCAGTAATGTATTACAAAATATTAAGTGCTAAAGAGTTATCGATTGAAGACTTTTGGCCCCTTTTGGCCCCTAATTTGAGTGCCCAGACCCTTTTCCTTGATTTCATCTTGAAGGTTTTAGGATTTTGAACACTTTTTGTTCAACAACTATTCAGAGATTCTTTTCATTTTTCGAGTTATTTGCAAAAGAAATATTTAGGGCCAACCCTTCAACTCCCTAATGGGGACGTTTAGCGAAAAATGAAAGGTTGCATATTGTTCAGAACATGATTTTGAACATCTTTTGTTCAATATTACTTGTCAAAATATTTCTCACTTTTGAGATATAAAGCGTCAAAGATTTAGCGTTCTGGCCCCTTGTGGCCCCTTATTATGTACCATACGACCTGAAAATCATAATATATAGTTGTAGATTGTTGAGATAAACATCTTTGCTTCAGTGATTTATAAGAAAATATTAACTGATAAAGAGTTATCGATTGAAGACTTTTGGCCCCTCTTGGCCCCTAATTTGAGTGTCCAGCTCCTTTTTCTTGATTTCATCTTAAAGGTTTTAAGAT